AGCGAGACCAAATCCCCTCCTAGCCTTCCCGTCCGTTAAGAAACCCTTGCCAATGAACTACCAGAAAAATCTTGCACAAAAAAAACCAATTCACATCCCTGGCTCGTTGAAGACCTATCCGTACTGCGGCACCGCCAATGTCGAAATAACCCAATTCTTGGCGGGAAATCTTTCCCCCTCCCTCTTCCGGTATGGTGTCACGGGTGTGTCAGTCAAAAGATGAAATAGCCTCGCCCACAACACGTGCTCTCTCCTGCTTTGCCTTGCCTCACCTAGGCTGAATCACGTAGGCTGTGGCTGCGTCACATATCCAGGCCAAGATTTACATGACTGACTTTTGATCCGCGACTACCTTACACAGTAGAAACCGCAGAAGCTTAGTGCCTAGGTAGTGAACCCGCTGTAGCCCCCAGCCAAGAAACCACAGCCCGGCGCGGCAAGCCGCAAGCCCCCCATCCAATGCCAATGCCAACACCATCTTCAAAGGAACCATCCCCATTCCACAAAGTGCTCCAAAGCCAAGCACCCAAGGTGTGAAATGGGCGGGCGGGTCGGATAGCAAGACATCGATCGGATTGGACTAAAAATTGGAGTAACGTCAAATCCGTCTTTGAAACTGTGGTTCTTTGACTCCGTAAAAATGAGAAGCTCTTCGTGAATCAGATCGGGACGGTCTCCCGCTGACTACGGTACGCCAAAACTCCACTTTCAGATGCATCGCATCGTCACCTGCATCTCACCTCCTCACCGGCATTGAGGCAATTCTGGCAGGAAGGGTCCGACTATGATGAAATGATTCCATTGCTGCTCCCAACACAGGGTCTTCAAGTGGAAGTGTAACAGGTGGTGAGACACCTAGATCATGATCGAGGGAGCGTATTCACATTGCACATTGGGGACAGTTTTGAACATTTCAAACTTTGGGTAAATTTGTTTCTAAATCCTGCGGACATGGCTTCTCAAGCTCGCGGTCCGGATGTCTCCATCTACGTCCTCTCCTCAGAGGGACAAGAGAAACAAAGTTCTCTTTAGAAAAATAAGTATAAAAAAAAACTTCTTCAATCGTCAACTCCATTCGGCCAGATGGAAAGCGTATCTGGTGCCTTTCATCGCTCATGCAAAAAAAGACTCGAAGATGCAACACAATCCAGCGTACATGTGTGAAGTCCCCGAAACGCCCCTTCCAAAGAGGAGCCCGGCGCGATGGTGAGCCGTTGCTGTCCCTTGGCTTCGAACCTCGATCGCCGGCTTCCTCTCCCTTCTGCCTCGGTTCATACGAGACAGGTTTGTTTATAAAAGTGACCAGGCAAGCCCTGCCTATCCCATGGTTGCGCCTTGTACCGCCGACATCCAGCGGATATCCAACGCGCGGTATTTTTCGACAAAGGAAATGAAGCGAAGTAAATGAGGTGGTGGTAGATACATTTCGAGCCCCGTTGCCCAATGTGATCGAAAGGGTGATATGTAGGGACGGAGCGCCGGTCTATGATGCCGTTGTTTTTGTTTTCAATGTATCGAATTTAGGTAGATTAGACATAGAAAATATTATCATTGCCTTGATTGGTGCTGCACGAGTGTGCAAAAAAGCCGCTCATCATGGCGGGTGAGCAGCGACGACCTCGGGGCCATGGAGGTGAGGGTTCTGGCATCCACTGGGTATCTTGAAAAAAGTAGCAGATATTGCCAGCCCGCAAAAGAAGTGGCCTCGGGTCGGCAGGAGGTTGAGTGTGGCGGATATGCCATCGTGTTAGGTTAGAAAGCGGTCGCGAAGATTGCGCTCACGCTTCAAGGGCGACGGTTCGGGTTGTGCGGGGGGAACTGGTGATGCCTTGCGTTCGCGTTGGCCTGTGCCGCAAGATACTCTGCGGATCCAGTCTGGCGACCGGGCTGCTCAGCAGGCAGCTTGGTGTCGTCACGTCTTTGAGGAGCTGCTTGAGCGGGAGGAGGGGGTGCACTGCTGGCCGAAGGGCTGGGCATGCCAGGAACGAGGTCGGTGACGGCCTGGGCAATAGACTTGATGACATATCCTCGGAGCTCGCGGTCCTCGCGGCTGTCTTCCTTCTCGAGTCTGAACTTCTCGTCCTTGTTCATGTTGCCGCGACGTAGACCCCTGATCTCGTTGAGGATGTAGAGAAGAACCTCTTCGGGGCATCTGTTGCGTTCCGCGCAGAAGTCGCTCTTGCGGACGTACCGGCGAGTGACATCTGTGGCGCCATCGATAGAGAAAGCGATGCAGTAGGACATCTTCTTGCCCCAACCCTCGGTGTAGAGGCGCGGGTTATCCCATGCCTCCTCGCAGGCGTCGACGTGTACCCATCGCTTCTGGTGCTCGGAGTAGACTTCGGTCCAGACGTGGTCCTCTGCGTTCCAGATCCAACGAACTCTGCCTCCCATAGCACGGCAAAGCATGCTGAAGCAATTCGCCCACTCTCCAACGCGTCCTCTGCGGGTGTGCAGCAGTCTCCATACGTCGCCGTACCTGGGGAATCGTTCGTAGGCGCCGCAGTCTCCGGCTGAGCATTTGTAAAGCTCGACTCGAAGCGCACCGCATGCACTCTCATCGGGCGTCGGAGGCGTCATGCCTTGGGCGATTGTGGGCGAAAGGCATACGGGGCACGGGGGGTTGTTGACCCAGGTGAAAAATGATCGCTTGAACCATCTGAACAGACGATTAGAATGTGTTCCAAGGAATCGAGTGAAATCAGGATCTTACCTCAGAAGTGCGCGGATAACGCAATCTTGGTAGCCCCAAGTAGCTTTGCGTCCATCTCCCATACTCTCAGCCTCGGCCTGCATCACTTGGCACTCCTCTTCCGCCTCGCCGTATATCCGGTCGAGGGGTATGCACTGCAGAGCCTCGTCCAACAAACCAGGGTTTTCGTACTTTGTCGGAGTGAGAGAAAGGCTGATCATCAGGTTGCGGAATTTTTGTGAATCGCGGTCGTTGGCGGCGGGAGGTGTAGGGATCTTGGGGAGGTGGCGAGAGTAAGCGGGTGGTGTCGGGGGCATAGGTGTTGAGCTGTGTGAAGTTGAAGGTCTACCGGGACCAGGTGATGCGAGACCGCGGAGGTTGGCGCTGCTTGCGCTCTCTTTGGGTTGAGGAGTTCCTTGCCGGGACGAAGTTCGAAGGTCGGTCATACGCTTGTCACGAAGAAGTGACTCGAACTTTACCCTCAGGTCGCGAGCCCACTCTTCACCATACTCTCCATCGCCGTTCGGGGGGCCTTCGGCCGGGGGATAACCATGGCCGTCCATTTCAAAGTCGTCGGTGGTTAGATAAATGTAAATGTCGAGGGTGTCGAAGAAAGGAGGAGGGACGGTTGGAGAGTCTTCGACGGAACTCTCCCGGTGCTCGTCGAGTAGTTGAATCGTATTGGTGTCAGATCAGGGCGGCGAGTTAGAAAGACTTAAAGAGTGGAAGTCGTCGTCGAAATTGATGGTCGTCGAAGGCTGCGCAACTGTTGTATCGGTTGCCAGTCGAGGTTGAAGCTGGTTGTGGTGGTGTTTGGTGGATTGTAGTCGACCAAGTCCGGGTTGCTTCTCGTCTGCTAGTTGGAAGAGTCGAGGCTCGGCACTGTCGAGAGTTCCTGGGCCAAGAGAATCTAGCTTGGACTTTCGGGTCGGGTGGGAGTATTTCAGGCGTCGGTCATGAGTGTGAGTACGAGTCCCAGCGAAGCGATCGTGGTCGCTATGCGAAAATGTTGGTTCGCAAGATTCCGTGCCTTGTCGTCGGTAGAAATCGAGAATCGAATTTCAGAGGCGAGTGAAGTGCGGTGTCGAGAAGGAAGGGATGGGATGGGGGGATGGGGGTGTTGAAAGGGTTGGTAGCGGGCGGAGAGGAGGGTGCGATTGGGGAGTGGGCCGCCAGGGGAATTGATGGGAGCAAAAGAGCGGACGTAACGTACGCCAGCAGTATCCGTAAGGTAGCGAGCGTACGTAGAGGTGCGAGGAAGTTGCGTTGCGTGTGCTGCGTCTGCGTAAGGCGTAAGGTGGAAGAGGAGTGAGGACTAGGAGAGAGGCAAGGGAAGTGGAAGGGGTCAAGGTCAAGGTTCCAGGGGGGGGGGGGGTGTGTGTGTGTGTATTCAGACACCTCAGACTTTGTTACTTTTGCAGGCAGAGTTGACAGAAAAGAAGCAGAGAATGGTAGCGAGAAAGAGAGAGAGAGAGATGCAATGTGAGAGAGAAGGGGGGAGTGGACGGTGGGAGCGGGAGGAGTGCGAAGCAGCAAGAAAGCGTACGCACGCCGCTCTCTGGCTGGCTCCTCATGGGCGGTTTACGCGTAAGCTGTGCAACTCGGGCCAATGACAGGGGCAAGATCGCTCCAGAGTGGGGCCCGCTCAATCCGCCCCGGTACGTACCACGACTCCGTCTTTCTGTCCCAAGTGAGCAAGAGCATCCAGCACAGCGTGCCTTCCTCTTCTTCCAGTCTGTACTTTGAGGATGTACTGTACCTCGTGACATGTACCTCCCGTGCCCTCGTACCTACGTACCGTATCCATCTTACCTAAGGCATCACGAGTCTCAACCACCAATCACATTCATCTCACTCCTGCCCTTTCTCCATTTTGACGGATCCTCTTGCTCACATAGGTATCCGTAGGCACGAAGTACTCCCGTACTCCCCCCCGCCACTGGCCAACGACACACTCAGTCAGACGTCTCTCTCTCCCACCGTGTCCTACCTACGTCTACGGCCTCACCCACGACAAGCTCATGGTCCGGCTACTAGTGACGAATCCTGAATAGAGCCGGTCTACCTTACGTACTGCCCTGTCGCCGTCTCGAGCTTACCTACCTGTCCGGGCTGTCGAACGTCCTCCCGTCCTCCTCCCACATACCTTTCTCGCGCCAAGCCCTTCTTGGGCTGTTCAGAGGGGCACAATCTTGAGCTGTGACTTGTTTTGCGGTCCTTTGCGTCCTTTGCTCTCGATTTTGCCAAGGCATGCGTTGCTCTGCGGGCAAAAATTCGAGAGAAGCCAGGCAACGGCGACGCAACCCTCTCGGTGACGACGGCCGACGGTCCCTGGGGGCGGAGAAGCCCCCCTTCCGTACGAAGTACCCGTATCCTACCTGCGCAATATACCGACTTGAACTCTGGAGACGTTGACATTACTCTATCGAGTACTCCGTACGGAGTACGCAGTAGTGTTTTGGTGGTGACGATAGTTTACCTGCTCGTAACCCAATTGCGAATCCGAGCGAGGCTGACGACCTGCGACGACGATGGCAATATTGTTTCTTCTTCTTGGCACCTACCTACGGGTTGTGGGCGAGAGATGTTCATCAGATGGAGAGGATGAAGCGGAAACAATGGAAGCAAAGAAACAAACACCAAACCAACGTCCGCTGCCCACAGCATCTTCAAACATTCGAAGACCGGTAGTAGGGTACGGATACAGCCGGGAGGCATTCTGTGAGTACGAATAGGTATTCACCGAATCACCATCAGCATCCGCGAATGCCATCACTTACACTCGGATACAATACCTACTCTGCCTACATCTACTCCGTACATACTCGAGAATGCAGACCACACGGCAACGAGGACGAACATTGAAAGGGACAAGCCTCGCAGTCACATCCGATGTACCGGTACCTCTCGTTTGTACCTAATTAAAGGTCCTGTCACTGGCCGCCAGCGCCAGATCCCACCTCTCAACCTTAGTCGAGTGGGCACCGCATCCCTCCCCTCCGTCCCCTCCACTCCTCCAATTCCTCGCTCTTACGGTTCACCCTGGCCTTCACTTCACGCCCTCACGCCTCTCTCTCCCTCACACACCCGCGCCCACACACTTTTCTCACTGTGACGGGTCTCTGGCAGGCAGCCCCGAACTGTGATGACGAGGCGTGGCTGAGGTCTATTTCCAGCATCTGCCCCAGACCAATCTGGACTACCCGCCAAGACTTTTACGCCTGTGTCGGCGGAAACAACACCCCGGATTGGTCCCCTCCGTCCCAGATCTGTGGCTCAGCCGGCTCCCCAAAGCCTCAAAGCCTCACTCTCAGCACCGCTTTCTTGCTGATTGCCCGCCGCAGCACAAATCACCTGTGGCAGTGGCAGTGGGCAGGCAGCGGCAGCAGATTACCTACGGATACAGTCTACAGTGCTACACAGTACACTACGGGCAGTCACTACACGCACGGCGCCGCTCTGTTCCCCTCCAAGGCACCTCTTTAGGCACTCTGAGACAGCAAGACTCGACGCTCTCTTCCGTCTGTAACTGAACCAGAACCTTGGGGAGGGAAGAGGCCCACGGATGGCGGCAGCTCCGGCGCCAGGCGGCTGCCGGCCGTGGATGATTACGACGACTACCAAGAGCTCTTGCTGCCATCCGTGCCAGTTGTCGACACTTTCTACATCTGCATCCGTACAGAGTATCCGTACCAGGTATCGATCTCTCGCCAGCACACGCGGAGGAGCCGGGGATGCGTCGATGAAGCAGAAACTACTACGACTCTATCTGCACAACCTATCCGAGTCTCGAGCAATCGAGGACCCGTATTTTCATTAGAGATCGATCATGTCACAAAGGACGAGACACCATCCGACAGCCAGAGATGGTGATGATAGTGGTGGCCGACTTTCACTCCAATTTTCCACTTTGCGCTTTCGTGTCCGGCACCTACGTCCAGATCTAGCATCCTTCGTCGCCAATCCCTCGCCAGTCCACCTCATCTTCTTCGCCGCTGCACATCATTACCCTCATTGCACACTGACCAATCTCCCATATGCACCTCAAAGGCCAAAAAGTTCTTTGATGGGGTCCATCAAATCAACCACGCCGCCACAACCCTCACGCTCACGGTCTTTTGCAAAGACATGCGAAATTGCCCGAGAGGCAAGCCGCAGCACGACATTTGCATCCGTCCACGGGTATTCGCCATGTGAGACCAGCTCTGACTATCAAACCAACGGTCACTTCAGACTGGCGCCAAACGCCATAATAGTACTTAGCATCCCGTGATAAGGGAAGTTTGCTCCAGTATCGCCTACTTGCACCGTAATGCCAATTTCTTACTGGATGACTGGTTCGTTGCCGGCTGCGGCACACCATCTCGCCTCGCTCCTTTCGCGTCTCTCTCGGCCTTCTGGACCCCTAAAACTTTGTCTCCAAGACATGGGCAGCCAGGTTATCCTTTTGAGTTAACCGACCTGGTCCCGTCTCGTCGTCGTCCTGGACCTTGAATTCTCGTCTGTGGCTAGTGTCATCCAGAAACCGCCAGGCCCCCCACCCCATGGCGACAACGACTCAATTCCAGCAAAACCAGAAAAAGGTTCATAGAGTGCGACACCTTTAATTCGTACTCTCTTTTCGTCTGCCTCGGCTCCCATTGGTCTTTGGCTCCCATCGGCAAAGTCGTCGCAGGGGCTTGATGACTATCTGCACTCTACTTCAGTCAGGTACACGCTCGAGGAGTCGGATGTGTTTGGGTCCTCCCAGTTGTCAGAAACACCCCGGCTTCAAGGTTCTGCCTCGTTTTCCCCTCCTGGTCCCGGTCTCTACGGAGGGCACTTCGCCTATCCAATTTAGCTGGCCACGTTTCCCCCGATCCCCGCATGCGGTTCCTGTTCTCACGGACTCGACTCGTACGAATGGTGCCTGGCGGAGGCATGGCCGTTGACCTGATGAACGACAATAGCCTCGTCTGTAGGGCCGCACGCCGTATTACCTTATTGACGCCCGTCTTTCGGACAAACTTCATAGACGACAACCTCCTGGAGCTTCTTCGGCGGGCCAGGTCTTCCCGAAATCTTCTAGCGGCCGCCCTGAACCATGATTGATAGACTCTCCAATCCCAGGAGATCCTCACCCGATCCAGGTCTGATCCCACGTCAAATCCTCCTGTCTGTTACGTGTGCTTGCGTACACAGGTGGGCTCGTCAATCGTTCTCGCAAACTCAAATGTTCACAGGCCTACAGCGGTACTGACTGCTGCTGTCGTATGTGGCACGCCAACGTCTCGCCCCTTTAACTCGACTCGCACAGGCTGGACGAATTGATTGACTTTGATGAGACGACCCAAGCGAGTTGATATTCCTCAGACGGCATCTTGATGAAGACAATCATCCTCAGGCAGATGGATGACGAGTCAATGGGCGAGGTGCTAGAACAGACGCCCAAATGGCGTCCGTGACTTTGCACGCCGCAAATTGTACCCGCTTGGCGCCATCAAGCCCGATTCTGACCATTCTGGCCATGCTCGACTCTTGGCACATCCCCGCCTGGGCATATTGATACTATCACCAACAACCGGCAAGGATATCGATATCTGTTGCGGTTTGCGTCCCGACGATTCCCAATCTCACGTCGTCTTTCACGGGGACCCGTTCTCCAGGTTAAACTCCCCAGAGTCTGGAACAGAGGAACTGATCGATATCCACGATGGCTTTCTTTGGCGACGACTTCTGGGTGCGTGCCCGATGCGGCTACACCCCCCTTGACCCTGGGGCGTGGGCCTTAGCGGCTCAGTGACGCGTCATCCACCTTGTCTCACATCGGCGTTCCAATGGTGGCTTGCGTGTTGTTCCTAAATCCGTTGCCACCCCACATCAGACTGCACTCCTTTCGTCTCGAACTGCCACAACTTCCCACAAAGTCGCAGACAAGCGACTCTGCGATTTCTCCATAATGCCTTATTCACAAATTAGAGAGCAAAACTACAGAGCTTCCAGCGAGGGGTGGGCACGCAACGCACGGAGACACCTTATTACTGGAACTGCCAGTTACCTATCCGTACAGGTAGGTGCCCAAGCTTCCTGGGGGCTCAAAAAACCTCTCATTCCATCAGTCCATGTCGGCTTTCGGCAGAGTTGCCAAGGGGGCCTGCATCGTGACCGGCCAATTACACTCCCCCCACCTCCCGTCTGCAGAGTTCGGGACCTTTCATATTTTCGTTCGGGTTGGATGGTGTCTTTAGGAATTGGATGTGTGCGGAATGCTTTCAGTTGCTCAGATGGTCTTCTTCAAGACATGGAAACGAAACGTCTCAGTGGGAAACACCCAGTTGAATAGGCTGTCGTAACGTGCCGCCAGCGGGAAGGTTGCACGATGAAGGCATTTCATTCCATAATGGGACGAACGAGTGCTAACGACCTCGAAAGTCTCTTATGGCCCCCCCCCCCCCGACCCTACGAAGACACAGGCATCGAGTTGTACCCGGTCCAGAGTCGGCATAGCCCGATAGAACCAGGGACTTGATTGGGTCGACCTCATCCCGACTGAGAGAGCCGGACTCCGACTTACGCGAACTTCAAAATGAGAAGGGCTACGAATCCTCCTGCTAACATCCTGCTCATCAACCCGGCCCTGTCACGAGTGTGCAAGATCGCGACTCATGCTCTCACAAGACGTGTCGTCTACTTCCAGCACTTTCAGTTCCAGCACGTTCAAATGATATTGGACTCCGCCCCGGGCTGCGTATTCGATCGTCCTCTTGGCCCCCATTTTGCCCCTTCCCTCGACCTGTGAAACCGGGTTGGCCATGATCCCAAATGTCGAGATGACGAACCATTGATTCGTCCAAGGTTTCGTGCCTCTGAACCTTTTGTTACCTTTTCGTTTTCCCTTCACCGCTGCCCGCAGACGCCCCGCCCCCAAGTTTCCGGGTGCCCTTTTGCAGTCGCAATTACACGTTAGCCGCGCTTCAGAATCTTTCCGGATAAACCAGCCTCGGGATAGTCAAGCCACATCACTTATCGCCCAGTCCCTTTCTGTGACCCTACGAGAGGAACAGACGGCAAAGCAAAGCTCTTGCTGCAGATGCCGTTGTTGTCGAACTGCTCTGTGTTTCTCTCGGCCCTGTTAGCCAGACTGCCGGGGCTACTTGCGTGGTCTGACCCGGTCCATCTCCGTTTGTACACAAGGGAGGGGGGCGGCCAGAAGAAACCTCGAGCGGGACGCGCGTACCCTGGACCCCCTTCCGTCCCTCGCCGTTCCCCCCATCGACGCAGATCAGACTTGGGAAGGACGACGACCGTCTAGACACATTGGGCTAGTGTTATTCGATACCCGCCCTCTATACTACTCTCAGCCGCCTTTCTCGCTTTCGTCCGCAGGCGAGATAATAAGGTATTGGTTCTTTGGACAAAGAAGGGTGTCCTGGGCTGAGCAATACAACGAATCCCGGTGGGATATCTGGACCAACTTCTATCCAGAGCCCCGGTTCTTTTTCATCTGGTCTTTTGTTTTTGATCTTGCCGAGTATGCTAACTGAAGCTGGTTGATAGGTTGGGTTACCCGTGGCCTTTTCCGGGGTCGGGCGTATATTACCTGGTCACTTACCGAGAGACTCGAGAGCATGTTTCTGTATTCGTACGGGACGGCGGTGCCGTTCGGGGCTCGGGGGACTTTGTTGGAGGAAGACTAAGAATCCACTGTAGCCACGACGCCAAGCGGATATTGGACGCCCCCCATCCCCCTCACCCCGTGTTAGAGGGCCGACGACGACAACGTCAAATTGAGTGAGGCTCTTCTTTTGCGCCTGACTCTTGCTTCTTGTCAGCACTGCAGCAGCGTGGTC